AATATATATCGTTTGATGAGAACGAGGAAGAGGACATCGAAGAACACTTTAATCGAAGATTTAAATTTTTAAAAGCTGTGGGAGTTTTCATTGGTCGCAAAGATGAGGATGGTAGATATACCTTTGATACAAAAAGGCTCCTCTTGGCATACATTACATGGTACTTCATTCCAATGCTGACATTTGTCTTGGCAGAGTTATGGTATATGTTTGAGGACCATCAAAACACGGTCCTCTTTGACATTTTCCAGTCGCCAGTGTTTGTAGGTGTCTGTGTTGTACTGCCGCTGATAAAAACACATTCTCTGAAGAGCATCACAGAAACACTACAGAGAAATATGGAAGCTTTGCCCAAGCTTCCTAAAGAGCAATGTAAGCACTCAAGAGAAAAAGATAACTCAAAGGCTAACAATAAAAGTGAATCAGTAAGTGTAGTTGCTGGGACAGGAATATTTTCCATAACTGTATTTCTGTTTTATACAATATACGAACTGATAGCATACTCCGAGGAAACATTTACCAGTCTATTAGATGAACTTCCACCTTTGCTGGTTGATTTGATTTACCAGATTCTGCCATTTATGACAACCTTGTTGATTATAACCTTTCTGGATTATTATTCAAAGCTTTATGACCATCTGCGCTTTAAGCTGAAAGACCTCTGCGATCACTGGTCGGACGAGGGTGCAAAAGAACTCCAAAAAAAGATAGAAGATACTCAGCACACTTTCAGGTTGCTGATGACTGGTTTCTTGCAGTACGCCCTTACAACCAATGTCACTATCATTTCGCTCTTGGCCATTTTCACCACTTACCGGCTATCTCAGGGGGCACATGAGATCGTCTACCTGCTTCCTGGGGGAGTAAGCACCGTTATGGTTCTCCTCATAGCCTTCCACGTCCACACGCTACGTCGAAAGGTTTGTTGGTATGATTTTGGAATCGTTTTGTTATATTTAGTTGCATTTGATGACGTGTCTTAAGATTTTATGAAGTGAATGATATATGTATCTTCATTTATAGGATGAATATGGTAGTAAAGAATATATCTGCGCGCCACATAATTTCATTTCTAATTGATTCATAGGTTTTATAGTTTTATGCTGGGCAGTTTTTTTTCTCTTTTTCATGTATAGCCAGATTCCCGAGAGACAGAATCGCGGAGAGTGAAACTAATTTAATAACGGGTCAAGTTTGGACTGACATTAAGAGATAAAGCGAGTGCATTGAACAAGAAGCCTGTTCAAAGGTCTGCGAGTGATCATACAATACTGAACAAGGATCTGAGATGACTGGGGACGTCTGACCTTTCAGTATACTTTTTAAAATACTGATCACGTTCCCTGCATGTATTTGTGTGAACTTTGTTTGTTTAGAACTTATCACAGAAGTACGTGGGCTTGTTAATGGGTTGAATTTAATGGTTAGTGGAGGGCCTTTGTGTGGAGGTCGTGTACTTCTTGAAAATTATGTTCGAATCACAGACCTATGCACACCCTGTAATTGATTAATAATCATGCAAGTAAGCATATTTCTGTTCTAACCGTCTAACCTACATTATAATATAATAATATATATGGATATATATATATATATATATATAATATATATACTATATATATATGTATGTATATATATATATATGATAGTGTAGTGAGTGACATATATATACTATGTGTGTGTGTGTATATATATATTATATATATATATATATATACACACGTGTGTTGTGTGTGTGTGTGTGTGTGTGTATATGTTGTGCGTGTGTGCGGTGTGCAGTGTGGTATGTAGTGTGTGTGTGTGCGTATATGTATTATTATAAGTATTATATTTATACATATATATATATATATATACATACATATATATATATATATAAATATATAATTATATAATATACATATATCTATATATATATATATATATTATATATTATATAATATATATATATATATATATATATTATATTATGTGTGTGTGTGTGTGTGTGTGTGTGTGTGGTGTTGAGTGTGTGTGTTGTGTGTGTGTGTGTTGTTGTGTATATAATATATATATATATATATATATATATATATATATATATATAATATATATAGTATATATATAATATAGTGATATATACATATTGTATATATATATATATATATTATATATATTATGTATTTTCTTGTTGCTACATTGGGTTTCGCTAAATCTTTCAGGGATTTTCTTGATATCATATCCAGTGATAGTAAGCAGGTAGATCCCCAGATAAGCTTTATCCGTAATTCTTTATCTCCTTATTTATAACCCTTTCCCTCAGGGTGAAAGCTTGAGCCGCCTCGCCCGGGCCAAGGCGCGAGAAGCCCGCGGCGGCGAGCCAGGGAGGTACGGGGCCCTGAGAACCCTCCAGGCGGTGCTGCAGGAGGCCCCGCCCGAGGCAAGGATCTACGGCAACCTCCCCGTCGGCTACGGCCTCATCCCCCTCTTGGCGGTGTTCGTCTTGGCTTACACGGGCCTC